TTCTTTTCATTTCAATATCATTAGTTCTTTTTATTTTGTTTTTGTAAATGTTTGTAAATCTATGAAAGCTTGTTTGCTTAATGTAAAATATACCCACACAAGTGGCTAAGTTGTAAGATAAAAATGCTTTTGGGTGATATTTGATCTTGTGACACAGTTTATTTATTTATTTATTTGTCTAACTCTCTATTTACATGCATATTAGCAAATGAAATCTTTATATAGTATAAAAAAGCAAGCATTTAATTTGATAAATTATTAAAATGAAGTTTTATTAATTTATTTATGATTTCTTATATACATATATATATATATATGTATATACGGGTATCCATTTGTATTTTCATAAATAACTTTGCAAAATTAAAGTCAATATCCTACGTATACAACGTATACAAACAGGCCAATATCAACGTACCATTGACGACAGTTGCACCTAAAATATATCGCAAGTATGTTTTACATCTTTTTTTTTTTTTTTTTGTAAACTTGTTTGGCTGTTTTTCCGATTTTACGTTATTTATTTTATTTTTATTTTTTGCTTGTCCGAACGCCTTTATGATGACAACCAGTTTTCTGGCAAAACAAAAGCGTATCTATAAAAAAAAAAAAAGCTAATAACATTTCTCAGTTTAATCCTAAATTGGTACGAAATAAATGCGCATATTTTGGCGGCTCTACAATTAAATCTTACCTATACATTACAATATGAATTGCCGCAAAATAAAAAATTAGACTACATGAGATTATTTATTCTCTTTATCCAAGAACTAATTAATAAATGAAATTTGATTGCACATTGATTATGTAAATACATTATCATTTATAGCATATTGTCTGCATGCACATCAGTTCATAATTTTGCATAATTTGGCAAGATAATCAGTCTTTCATAGCAACATTGACAATTAAGACCATATTTAGACAGCATTCGAGCTTGGCATGAAGAATTTAATAGCTCTCTCTTCCAAAAGATCTTACAGATCTTACATATCCAAAGAAAAAGGCCTGCATTCTAAAGCTATAAGGTTACGAAAAATGCATAAATTATGATTTCATCATGGGTAGCTGAGTGGGTAAAAAAATCGATTATCAAGCCAAAACCCATGGGTTCAAACCTCAAGTGCGTTAAAGTTTTCCTTGGTCGCAGATGTAGTAGCTACTGCTCAGTCGGTAAAGAGCATAACACATAACGGCACACGCTCGCCAGGCTCCAGGTCACCACTATTTCTTTCTCTTTCCTTTCCTTCTCTCCTTTCTGACGGTCACCATATTGTACACGAATAGTGGACATCTCCTGATGGATTGGTCGGTAAAAGAGAAAAATAAATAAATTAATAAAAGACAAGACCATCTATCACATTTTTCATGTATATAGGACAATACAGTTTCGGATGCACATTTTTATGCGATACAGGTATTTGAAAAATCCAACACACCGTCTTTACTGACTATAGAAGCTCCTTAGTCAGGAATCTTTTTATTTTTCTGTATTTTGCTAAGAGTTTCCTACTATGAAGGTGGATATTTTTGTCAAAAGCCTTGCAACTGCGAGAAGGAAACAACATATATGTTTTTGGTCAGTATTTGATATTCATCTAGGCTTATCCTTCATTTAGTCTGTCAATCTGTCCGTCTGCCCATCTTTGGAACATCTGTGCCAAGCATACCTTTGTTTTCTAGGTGTCTTGCGCATTACTCGTAAACTTCAAAAGGACAGTATAAAAATTTGTACATATATTCTAGAAAAATGAAAGAAATCAGCCCCAAAATGTGTTTTTTTTCTTTTCCTTTTTTGTAATCTAACACCGCTTGTGGTACAGAGTATATTTAATATTGCAGGCGTATGTTACACTCAGAAGGCATACGATAGAGTCACATTTTATTATGCTGATCAATTACGAATCATTTTCTAGATCGATCGAAGCCTGTTTGTCCGTCTGATGTCGGTCTATGTATTTTTGTATTCAAGCTGCAGGTCGCAATTTTTGAAATATTTTTAATAAAAAATTTGATACATGGACATACCTTGGCTGGAAGACGAAAGCTATTCAAAATGGGTCGGATCGATCCACTTTTTCGACCATTCCCCATGTAACGCCCCATTCCTGAAGAGGAAAAAAATGGAGATTTTGAAAATTTCTCGGCAAAAGTGTCTATGTAGTAGTATTTCGGCACACGTTTTTATATGTGAATACTTTGGACCGGCTGTGGCAAATTTTTAAGCCTCCTCTCATATAACCATTCGTATGGAAACTGAATCTTTATATGGTAAAAAGACCTAATTGTCAATATTTCATAGTGAAAATTGACTAATAAAAGTAAACTGACAAAAAAAAATCAACCATGACCAAATTTGGACCGCATAGCTCCATTTTTGGATACCATCGCATATAAGGACTCCCATGAAACGTAAATCGTTATATGTCAAAAGGGACTAATTGTCAACTTTTTTTGTGATGAAACTTTGCTCATGATAGTAATCGAATGAAAAAATTAAGTGGACCTAATTTAAAGCACATAGATCTATTTCCCGGCACCATTGCCTACAAGATATAGACCCTTCGGAAAAAGGCTTATGATGATAATTAATTCATAGCAGCGTTTCAGCAAAAACATTAACGGTAAGGAATTTCGATCATCTAGCTCTATCATGCTGTAGGGTGCATTAAAGTCGGCATTGCCCGATTATAATGTTCTTGTCTACTTTTAAAATAAATGTGGTGGGTAAAAAAAAATTCGATCACAGGCGAATATAAGTTTTTTCTTGTTTTAATATAAAGCAGTTTCAAAACTTTTATGCATCATGTATATAAGAAAGACTTTTTTTTACTTTACGATCTTGACAGAATATATAGGAATAATATTCTTTTTTGGCTTGGGTAGAATTCCAGTTACTTACGAATTTTAAATAATTCCCTAAAAATTGCAATTGTTCAGTTAAGTGAAGATATCTTAGTGAACCAAAACAATCCCTTTAGCATTGGAGTTTCAGGTAGACTTGCCATCAAGACCGATATCTACTAAAGATTAGAAATTTTAATATTCAAACGCTTGGGGTCAAGTATGTCATTATTTGCATTCTGTGTTGATTTTTCACACGCTGGCAAACTCAGTAATTGCCACGGGGAACGAGAGGGTATGCAATGACCGAACAATATGTACATTTGAGATGTAACTGTTGCAAACGAAATAATAAAATGAATATGTCTTCGTTCAACAAATTTTTTCATTTTATACGTAACTATAAATTTTTTGTTTTTGCTTTCAATTGAATTCTGCCAGACAGTGAATGAGTGAAGAATCAATAATAACTATAAGAAAATAAAAACGATATATATTTCAATTGAATATAACAGCACATCTTGACTTGTTGCGCCATATTTGGTGATTTGCCATAAGAGTGTCTCGGCGATCTGTTGTTATTTTCCGTAAGAACTCTTTGTGCATTGCTTTTCTCTTTATTTTATTTTTATTATATCCATGTTGAGGCAGTACATATATTTTTTTTTGTTTTTTGTTGAACAAAGGACTAACAATTCATTATGGGTTACTTCCGTGTTTCAAAAAAAAAGACATTTTTCTTTTCAATTTCAATCTTTGTTTAGTCAGACGACCTTTCTTCCAATATGTGTGATATGAAAACGAAAATACATCTTTAATATTTATACACTTGCAAGAAATATCGTTCCTTTTTAATCCTTTACGTGCAAATGCCAAGAACGGTCTCCAATAAAATTGTTGATTGCTTTGATTTGATGGAATCATTTTCGAGTAAGTTTTAGTGCTGACGTTTCGACAAGTAAAAGCTCCTTATTCGCGCTTCCTTTATTCGCGGTTTCACTATTCGCGGATTAAAAAAATTCGACCCAATTCCCATATTCGCGACTATAAATTTCTTTATTCACGGATTTGTGACTGGTTCCGGAATTGTTTTGTTTCTGAAGTTGAAACTTATTTAAAAAAACAGAATTTAGACTTTAAAGCACTTCTAGTTTTGGACAATGCATCAGGTCATCCTCGCGAACTTGAAACTGTGCATTCAAACATAAAAGTGACATTTTGACCTCCCAACACTACGGCTTTGCTTCAACCTATGGGCCAAGGCATAATTCAGGCCTTTAAGTTCTATTGCGTTAGACGAACGTTTAAAATCGTATTGGATAATATGGAATGTAATCCTGATATGAATTTTATGGAATGCAGGAAGAAATTTGACGTAGCAAAATGCATCGTAAACATAAAGGAATCATTGGAAGAACTGAAGCCACACACATTGAAGTCATGCTGGAAAAAACTCTGGCCTGCTGTGACTGCGGAAAATGCCGAAGAATCTGTGCAAGTTCAAACTTTGGCTGCAAACATAGCCGAAATCGCGAATGGAATAGGACGAGATGGGTTCGAACAGATAGAAACAAGTAACATTCAGGAAATGCTTGAATCGCAAGATGAAGACTTGACTGAAACCGAGTTAGAGGAAATGTTAAATTCACCGCCCATTGAAGAAGAGGCTTCAACAAGCACTGGAAACGTGACATTTAATTTGAAAAATCTTAGTGAAGTTTTAAGAATGGCACATGAGCTTGGCGATTTCTTTATGAACATTGATCCGTCTATGGAACGAAGTCTTATTTTTAAGAGGCAAATTGCTAATGCGACTGCTGCGTATCAGTCTGAAATGGAGGAGCTATTAAAAACTGCCAAGTAAGAGAAACCTACAAAACTCTTCAAACCATTGCCTAAGCCTTAAGATAATTGATCAAAATGTTCAAAAATTTCAATTAAATTGATTTTTTTATATAATTTATTTTTTTTTATTTTGTCACTTAGGAACGTATCCCCTAAAATCCCATATAAATTACAATTCTGTATTCACGGTTTCGGATAATAATCAAGATGAAATTTAATGGACACACAGACAGACATTACGTACTTAACATACCCCGTATCACAGGCGAGGTAGGGTATAATAATTAAAACTGATCGCACCCAAATGTAAAAGTTTTTTTTTTTTTTTATTATTATTATAATTTTACGCATCCTCTTGCTTACATAAATGTAAGCCATTTCCAATACAGGCTGCGTAAGCCATAAGATGCGGGATAACATTCTGTTGCAGAGTGCCCGAAAACAAATCAGCTTGTGGACCACGGGCAAATATAGCCACATCCTCGCCAGCATGAGTACCCATTAGCGCTTTTATATAACTAGGAAAGATCATATCTACAAAAAAGAAGGCTTTTGTCAATCTTAAAACTTTCGATTAAAGAGTGTTTCGTTGCTTACTATCGCTAATGAAATTTGTAAGATCTAAACGTTTTCCATTACTATCCATATATTGTTGGGGGCCAATAGCATAATTCAGCACGCTGTAAGGTGTACCGTCCAAATCTAAATCGCGTTCATTTAAACCCAAAATCGGATTACCACGACTTTGATAACCGGATATTGTCATGGTATGCGAATGATCGGATGTAACTACCATAAGTGTTTCACGGTCGTCAGTCAAATCCAGAGCGGTTTGAATGGCTTCATCCAATTCTAGCGTCTCATCCAAAGCGTAAGCGGCTCTAGTTTCATGATGGCCATGGTCTATGCGACCACCTTCGACGAACAAAAAATATCCCTCGGAATTCTTCTCCAACATTTTTATGGCAGCCTTAGTCATATCCTTAAGTCTGGGCTGCTTGGGTCTCTCTACTTTCGCTTTGCGATAGTATTCCAAATGGGAGCTGTGAAAAAGTCCCAACAATTGTTTAGTTTCATTAAAATCCACTTGTTCCAATTCTTCAAGATTTGTAACGAAAATTCCTTGAGGATAATTTGAGTGCCAGTGATCTATTAAGTCTAAACCGTCTCTACGTTCACCTTTCGCTCCAAATGCATCTACTTTATGTTTGGGCAGAAATTTACCCATACCCCCTCCCAGAATAACATTAAGATTTTTGCCGGGCTCACTTGTTATCAATTGTTGGGCTATATCCTTGCATTCTTCCCCGGGTCCTATAATAGCTTTGGTATTAATAATATCATTGTCGCACTCCCAAAGCCTGTTTGCAACATGAGCATAACCGGCCGAGGGACTGGCATTCGTGATCGTGGTCGTCGTTACCAAACCCGTAGATTTGCCTGCTTTTTGAGCCCATTGAACAATTGAATCTATTTGATGCTCTCTATTCATACTATCTGAACAATTGTTATTCTGTACATTAGCATTAACACCTAACATCATCACATTAGTTTTTATTCCGCATAAATATGCTGTGGCTGTGCAGGCTGAATCGGGAGTCTGGCCATTAGTGCAGTAAGTCTATAAAATAGTAGGGAAAGGATTAAAACTTACCGAATGGATAATATTGATCATATCGAATACCTTAACCAAACCCGTGAAAGGAAATTTATCAAACGTTAGTATACTTTCCTCTCCCGTGCATCCTTGCCTTTGACCTTTTAATATACGGGCCGCTGTTATGGTTGATATGGACATACCATCACCCAGAAACAATATAATATTTTTCGCTTTCTGCGAATTAAAAGATCCGGTTGCGCGTTTCTTTACATATCGTTGAGCTTCCTCTAACCAAAACTCTGTGCTTCGCTCGTTCTCGGGAGTTAAACGATTTTCATAAAATAAAATTCTTTCTTTTTGTTCGATCGCATCAAATAATTCCTTGTGATAAGGATCACCAATTGTAACACAATCAACATCGAATACCCGGAAAAAGATTAATGTTAACGTAACGTAAAATGAAAATTTATAAAAATATTTTCTGACAGCAATCATTGTCGGTCTATATTAACTAAAACTAACCGTTTTTTGAGCAGTAGCTAAATGTTTGCTTATGTCACGACCTTTATATAATGGCTAAGAACAGAGGCGTTGGCATATTTCTCTTATCAAAATTTTCGTTCACACGAAGCACATAAAATCTAGTTGACAAAATTCTAGCCGACTAAAGAATAAGCAAACAAAACAAAGTCGTCAACTAACCATAAAATTCAAATCTTTCTTTCGCAATTGAAGATTGAGTCGCAATTTGAAACGAATTTTGCTATCACCTATCACCTTAACTGAATAAACCGGAGTAATGTTTCGCCAAATTTCCGAACAATGTTTGTTTCCCAACTTGGCGGCAATTCTTCGAAATTCTCGTTTTTTTGTTATGTACGCTAATCCTCTCTCCTTACCACACCTTATGCTAACTTCGTACTTGAAGAAGCAGTTTCAAAACAATTTTTGACGGATGAATTGATTCATAATCGAAAAAAATTTGCAACTTATAGCTATACGTGGTCTTTAACTTTATCCAAATATTTAGCAGAGTTATATAAAAGGCCAACCTTACAATGATATCGATTGACTAACTGACAAAATAAATTCAAGTTAATAGTCTGGGACGATAAACATCACAAAGACTCATTCTAAGGCAAACAGAAACATCTTACCATTTTTATGATTTAAATAAGTAAACACACTATAGCGGAGCATGGTCCATCATTGGATACCATACAAGAGTCCACTTACTACAGTTAATCAACTTACGTCTTTTCAACATAAAGACCCATACAACGATTCCAACAATTTTCATTACCGTTCGTCCTTGGACCGGTATATGTCGATGTCCTTCGTCAAAGTATGTAAAAAATTGCGACTTGTAGGTTGAACACAAGAAAACAAGACGGACGGCTAGACAAACAGACAGACAGACAAGCCTAGATGAACTCGGAAAGTGATTCTGAAAATGAATCTAAAAGCGATTCTGATTCAATCGGTACAAGAAAAGTTTTCACTAATTCATAGCTATGTAGATATTGCGTACATCCACACAAACATAAATATTAATATTAATACAGCTACAATCATTTTCTGAATAGATCATTGAGTCTACCTTAAGTCCTTCTGGGTATCGCATACGTTCACGCAAGCCGAAGATACCCGGTAACATAAGCGATTGAGGGTACGAACAGGAAACAAAAATTTTTAATCTATGCATGGCTTCCATATCAAGAGTGAGTAAACTCACGAGAAAAGTCATTTAATGTTGCAAACCTTGTGAAAAATGACCCATAAGACACCACAAGTCAATATTGCCTGCCCTTGCACGTAAATGAGATAAGAGGCGATAAATGTTTTTATTACTTCGAGGTCGATGATGATTACTTGAGCAAAAATTTGAAAAATCATACGCTTACCACGCTTTCTTCGTGGATAATGCGTACCTTGCTATGAGTCGAAGACAATATCTTGTCGCTTTGAAAGAAAATAGCGCTTGATGTACCAAAAATGGATCTTTAAAGCTTTTATTTTTGAAATATCTAATCTTCTCTTCCCAGCGATCTTGATAAACGCTTTCGTACAAACTTCAATGTTTATATGATTGACAAATATTTCGAATCGGAAAACTTACTAGAACAATACTGAAATGAAACCTTTTACAAGAAAATTGCATTTTTTTTTTTTAATATTTCTTTTTACCGTTAAAAGTACATATTGGGGAATTGGCATACGATCCTGAGGTGATTAACATACGTTTGCTGTCTGTCATCTTTTGTTGTAACACTCGTGATCGCAAAGATTCGAATGCGTAGCCTTGAAAAGAAATTTGCACCTTCACGGCCTTGAATAAATATCTGGCAAATGTACCTATGTGGATGAAAATCAGTTTTATAAAGACTTACTACTGATTCGTGATATGTCGAGAAATATTTTCAGTAATTTTTTTTTTTTTTTTTTTATATTTGCATTAAATGACCTAAAGGAGTTTTTGTTCAACCAGTGTTCGTAATAGAAATGGACGTGATCAGTCCATTACAAACGTCATCACTAGCGCATCGACTAAGATTTAACTTGAGTATGTTCATTAAAAATATAGTAGTGACGATTGCATTTCAATCTCTACTTCAGTTAACTGCTTGAGATGAGGCTCAACTTAACTCGCTCTAAAACGAACGTAACGTAATTTATCTTTCATTCGTGTAGCTTTACATTATAAGTTAAAACAAGTGTTAAGTGTAGATAGTAAATACTAGTTGGAGCAAATATAGACGCATCATAGACACTATATGCTGTAAGGCATAGAAGTATATACAGACGTTCCACGTTGTAAAACACGGTTTCGATATTACACGGTACAAAATTTGCACGTATTACAGCACGGATTCGATATTACACGGCACAAAACTCGAATTTAATATAATAAAAAATAATAAAATAAAAACTGATGATAAAATTAATTTTTACTTTAATTACTCTTAATTTCATTTACATGTGCATTTGGAATGAAATTTTATAAAAAAAAATTTCATAATAAAATTTTACATCTTAAGAGTTGGTGTCGGTACAACACGCTATACATCGCATTGATTGACACTATTTCAGAGTATCTTATAGCACGCGTTCAATGCGAGCACGAATAAGGTTTCGATACTTTGATCTACCGTATATCTAAGTTTAAATTTTTCTCTTCTATGCGATATTTAAGTAAAAACATAAAAAAGTTCCATATAACACGGTACAAATTAATGATGAGGAATAAAATATAGTTGAAAACATCATCTATTGAAGTCACACTTGGGACTTCAAAAAATTGAAAAACCTAAACACTTCTTAAATTAAGGTTTTACATTTATGTAAATATATACTGGAGTTTTCAATTCAAAAATCAATTAAGCCAGAGATCAGAGAGTGTAGTTCGCCCACAAATGGTTTATAAATGGATCGGAGCATGTGAATAAGACTTTAAATTGTACTTTCACGTATAAAATATATATTTAAAATATTCATAACAAACGATATTGGACGGCATGATATTTTCCCGACATATAATAAGTATAGCGACAGTGTTAGGTATTGACTGTTTCGATGCAAACTTTCTAAATTTAAATTTATTAATTAAGACAATCGCAAATATTTTGAGAATGTTAGTGTGTGTAACTACCTAATTGTTGATAAATTTACACACATTTACATATATAAAATTGCAGACAAACATATTAATCATGATAGTAGAAGTGTTGGCGCAGTTACGATTCTTAGTGATTTATTTAGCTTCTCATATTCATGCAAACCTCTTGAGCACTTTAATTTTTCAAGTTTAATGACTTATAACCTACTTTATGTGTTTTGTATTTATTTTTCATTTTAATAGAGATAAATGGTAAAAAGCGCAGAAAAAAAAAAAACAAAAAAATATTAAATAAAAAAATGGTAAACTATACCGAGTACAAAAAATTGCTAAGCATATCATATCAAATTACTTGGTTTCTCTGACAGGTGCATCTACTAGCAAAGTTGGGAAAGATAAAGCTCATATCTTCAAAACCTTGAGGCATTGATTTAATGAATTTCGACAAATTTCAATTTATGGACCTTATGAACCAGAAAACTCTAGGAATCATTTTTGATATTCTTAAGGATTTAAAAAAAACGGATTCACAAGTAAATGAGAAAACATACTTTTTCTTTCGTCTCTCTTGCTAACTTGTTGATTATAAAGCTGACCCGTGATCTGATTAAGTAATAACGCCGTTTCCTCTACATTTATGCAGAGAGTGTAATCTCCGTGGGTATTTTGTAAAGGATTACGAATTTGCAATCTCTTCGGATTAAGGAAGAAAATTTTTAGCAGAAATAGTGAATTTTTACTCTATTGTGCAAAAACTTCTAAAAGAATATATCAGTGACAAACAAATAAAAATAATTTAACCGACTCTATAAGAATGTGGCGTTGTTGAGCGACCGATTAAATGAGCGAGTCTGTACATACAATTTAATCATTTAATTTAATCATTTAATATTTTTAGCATGCCAATCGTATAATTAATTCTTTTCTTCTTCTTCTTATTCTTCTTTCATTCAAAATTGGAAAAGCTTATGTAAGAGCAATTTGTCTTTAAAGAGATATTTCCTTAAAAAATCATAAAAATATACAAATACCGATGTGTTTACATTAATTACAAGCTTCGTAGCAGGACGACCTTTATCAAATAAATCAGGGCTTCCGATCTGTAATTTACATTATAATAGTATTATTCATAATTAGTAAGTCTACCAACACGAACACGGTCTCTTTGCAGTTGCCGCAGATAAAGCCTGTCACTAATTGGAAAGATGAACCGTTCGCCCCTCTTTTCAGCATCACGTTGCAATTTGGAATTGTAACATAAAAAGGGCATTTAAAGTATTGATCTATCAAATGTGCCAAAAATGCCAGAATCGCGAGAATTGATAATATTTCTTGCTTCTTCAAATAATTTCAATTACACATATTGAATATATTGAAAAAGAAAAAAGATTGCTTGGCTGATGAGTTGCACAAGCGTGGTATTAATATGAAAGGGCTTCTATTCGATGTAGAGAACTGCAATCGTTCAATTCAAAAACTTGGAAATCGAGTTTGAGATAGCAACCTCAATTTTACATAGTCGGGAAAGAATTTTTTACAAAGAATTAACGGAGGAGCAAGTACGGTCTCTAAGTTTAATGCTTTAAAAAAAACGTCTCAAACAGTTAACAATACTTTGAAGCATATCTAAGTTATAGCTTGCTTCAATGTGTTGATTAAAATGCGTCGTGAGTAGGGGATACGCAATGGTATGTTTAATCTTTGGACGCTGATTTTTCATAAAAAATCGCAATTGTATATTTTAATAACAAATGCGGTATTGGGTGAACACTCAGATTTCCTGACCATCTAAAAGCAAAGAGAGATGACAAAAAAAATTTCTTAGTTCGATTTTAATCACAATATGAGGAGTCGGCTGAGCTCAACTCAAGCTCCCTCGTATTATAGCAAATTGGAAAAAAAAAATTAGTTAAATTCTACAATAAAATATTCAATCAAATTTGCAAGAAGAAGCTTCGGGAAACATTTTATCCACTGTGTTTAAATAATTATTTTTGACTTTACAATGCATTTTTCAACGAAATTTCTAAAGAATACAAAAATCAACAGCCATAAGGAAATATTAAGTCACCTTATTCAACCCGTTCGGCTTGTTTAACGGATTAGCATTTTGTTTTTTTAGTTTATATGCCTTTCACAAGATCAATTTTCAATTTCTACGTTTCCCGCAAAATATAACAGGGTGAACTAAATTAATAGAAAAACTTAAAATAATTCAAGCACAGAGATGTTTCTTTGCTGAAATTCTTAATAATTCCTAACAAAATTTTTTATTGAAATTTAATCTCTTTATTCTACTAGTCAGCGAATAAATGAAATATGTGAGAAACAAACAATTTTCACAAAAACAGGGATGTCACAAAAAATTAATAAGTTTGGCAAAATTTTCCTTACACGCACGCACACACCCACACATAAATTTTGTTCGCATGAAAACTAAGTCCGGGTAAGAGTAAGTCGTTATATGCTAGTAACGAATAACGCAACGTAAGATTACAAATACGTGGTATTTTCTTTGTACAAGTTTCTGAAAGAAAAAAATAATAAAAACTTTTGAAAAATTTAAAGCAACTAATTATTTTGATTTGTGACTTTTAAAACAATTTATATTCCAATTAAAGAAGTGTAGTCAAAATACAAATTTACATAGAGATAGAAAATAAATTACAAATGATTGCATTTTTTTTTAAAGACATTCTAATTTAATTGCTGAAAAGTATTAATAAACTAATCTAAAAATGTCCACTACACGACGTCCGCGTGATGGCCTGTTGGCACGCGTCAATTTTCCTTTATATGCCGTGGATATGTTGACCAGTCGTCATGTTTTAGTGGCTGGTGGTGGTGGATCAAGCAAAACGGGCGTAGCAAATGGTTTTGTAAGCTGTCTGTTCAAATTATGCTATTTATAAATATATAAATATATGTTCGCTTTAGGAGATATATGAAATATTTCATAATGGTCAACACTTTTGTGCTCAAGAAATTGTACGTTACGAAACGGGGGCAAATGTTGTCATGAATTTTGCAGTACGTAACGAAGGTAGACGGGCATTGCTTTGTGCTGGGCAAGAATCGCACTGCCAAATATATTTTGTTAATCCGCGAGTGCTAAGCGATGATGGTAAAGAGGAAGTCTCAATTATTTCAGACTATAAATCTTATAAGGATAATCACGACGTGCGAGCTCATGAAAATGGATTAAGAAATAGAAGAAATACCACATCGAGTGTGGAAGACTTGCCGAATGGTCATACTGCAAGTGCTACAGGAGACAAGCAACCACTGCCTACAGTGCCACCCGATCAAAATTCCAATATGAAGCGACAATTAAAATTCGACATTAAAATTGGTAATTCGGTGCAAAGTGATTTTTTGCCTACAGAACCATTGCAGCGAGTAGTACGTATTGGTCCTAATGGTGATATCATGGTGACCGGTGGAACTGATGGCCATTTAAGGGTGTGGTCATTTCCAAAAATGTCGTTAATAAGCGATATAAAGTAGGTCTCTCCTTTGTCTCTCCTAACACTTACTTAATTTACTTTTCGTTTTTTTTCGCTTAAGTGCTCACACGAAAGAAATCGACGACATTGATATAAGTCCCGATTCAAAATATATTATAACAATTGCTAAAGATCGCTTGGGCATTGTGTGGGATATAAAAACTTCGAAACGACACTACGACCTGAACTGGGAAACACCGGAAGGCATCAAGTATTTGTATAAGCGATGTCGTTATGGAACTATTGAGACGCAACGAGATCAATATCGATTGTTTTGCATAGCGAATCCTTTAGGGAAAGTGGGAAAACAACGAGGTTATCTGCAACAGTGGGACTGTTCCACAGGAACATTGCGGCTAGCTGTAGGCATCGATGAAAGCCTCTCGTCGTTGGCAGTACGCGATGATGGTCGTTTCGTAGCAATTGGGACAATGTTTTCTGGCAGTGTTTCTATGTATATCGCTTTTAGTTTACAGGTAAGCTGTTGAGGATAGAATTGTTTCACAGTCGAAATTCGTAGACTTACATCTCGGGGAAGACAAAAAAGCCTTGTGAGTAGAGCCGGAAATCCTGAGATGTGCTTCTCTTACATCAACTTTTTAAAACAGCTGCCGCAAATTGCTTTTTAACGTAATTCTCTTCAATTTCTTGTTTAACAGCGCGTACTGCATGTCGACAATGCTCATTCTATGTTTGTGACGGGACTGCAGTTTTTACCTGTTACAAATGAAGAAGGTCCGCCAGTATCTAGCGATACGGAAGCTGCTGTTCTATCAATATCTGTTGACAATAAAGTTTGCATTCATAGTTTGCAACAACGACGTAAGTTACTTTCCGCTTTTGATTGCTCTCTATCCTATAATTATTTATTTCTGTTATATTCCAGACACCATTCCTGCTTGGTTGGCCATTATATTAATTGTAATTGTTTTACTGGCAGCATTTACCTTATGTTCATATTTAGGGCTTTAAGCTGTAAAATTTCGATGCACCGATAGGTGGATGTAATTGTAATGGCCATGTGTACGCGATAACGAATATTCGATTTAAAGAATTTTCACCTTTTGTATTTTTTAGCATAAATCGCTTGTTAATCTAAAGATGACGTTTTCTGCATCAGCGTTTATATCAAAAAGAATATATATTACATTTATCGTGTAATTTATTGGCCGTATCTTATTTTCACTATCAAATATTTAGTCAATTTTCACTGATTGTATGAAAGTGTAATTCCCTTGTTATCTTATGAAATCATTTAATCTAGAACCAAAAAAGATTATACGGAAGGGCTCATCTTTTCAATGTCGGCTTGATAAATTAGCGAAGTATATTTACAATAATAATTTAAAATTAATGAATCATGAGAAACTGAAATTAAGAATAAAGCAAATTTGAAATATGCTTTTCAAGTTTTCCCTTTTTCTAATGTTGGTGTGGCATCGTTCTGACGATTACGTATCTTCTGCAAAAGGTCTTCGTGCTGCTTACCCCAATATTGTATCTCTATGTGGAATTTATGAAAGCGTTCCTCCTCGCGGCGTAATTGTTTCAAGTCCTCGTCCCGATCCATGGCTAAACGATTATTTTCAGCACGAAGTTGCTTCAAGTTTTCCTCTGTTAAACGATTAATAGGTATAATACGTGAACGCTTATCACAGCTGAATTGGAACTGGGCTGCTGGTTGGTGCGGTGGCACACTGTTTTCTATTGGTGAAACATTGGCTTCTGAGCAAGTTAAAAATAATAATAAAGAAAAAAAAAACAATTTTTAGGTTTAAAAAAACATTTTTAACAAACTAAAGCTATACCATTCGCGTTTGTGGAACGCATTTGTAGAGGGATCCTAGGGGGTATTTGTTGTGGCTGGCTTCTACTATCTGATACGGATTCAGTTGGCGGATCTATTCTGTCCAAAAGATTTTTAATAATCTAAGAAAATTGAAAAAATTAAAATATCTTCATGGTTGTTTTATTTTTAACATACCCGATTTTCGTGCCAAGGATCATCTACTTCCCACTTGGTCTTCGTGTCTATAATACAGTTTATTAGTGGATATAGACGCCAAACTGATTTGTTACCAGATATATCCATATGCCTTTTTTCTGCCCTTTATGCATTTTATAGAAAAAGCAAAAAATCTTCCCGTTTACATAAAAAAAACCAAATATTGTCTTTTCTACTTACATATATCTGTTGAAAGAGAAGAGAAATGAAATCTTTTAATAATATAGATTGTATAGATAATATATGGATAATATATCATTACGAAAAACTGAATCGAACTCAAACTTTTTACACGAATAGAATAGACGCAAATTTCATACCTGTTAGTTAAAGTATTGATTTTGCGACGGCAATCTTGAGTGTTGACTAGGAAACCGAAACTTTTCATACCACCTACAATTTTGCGATAAACGGGCAGGCATTTGTGAACATCGGTTACTTCGTCTTTGTAGCGTCGCCACAATTCCACTAGACGTAATTCCTCCCAAGAATGCCAATAACGCTGTTTCATTGATTTGGGTACCTTTTCCTCCTCCTTCTGACGATCTTTTGAGGCTATTGCGACTTCTTGGGATGGTGTTGAAATATCTGGTAGTGTTGCATAAGTTGACGCCGCTTCCTGCATTTCACTGATTTCTGTTGAATCCATATTTTACTTTTTAACCCGAACTTCTCGGATTTTCCAAAAATGTAAAAATGTCAAAAGGTGTACGAATAATCCACGACACAGAGATGTATTTCATTAATTGAGACAGAATTGTTAACACGCAAAGAACCTTCGCAAATGTTACACGGTCATAGGGTACAAGTGAGGAGAATTTAAAAATAATAAATAAAATAATCTGGGAGCTGCAGCGTAGGGGAAAAGTACAAAATTTGCGAATTTCGCTTTAAACGATTGCAGAAAGTTTTAGATTTTGAATGACGACAAGTTCTCAAGATGTTGCCATTAGGAGCAAAAATCTATAATAACGCGTCTTTGTTATCGAACTAAAGTAGCCACTTAATATTACTACCACTACTTCGTCCAAACTTTCTTCATTTCAATTGTTTGCATCCACTAATCTCTATTTATAACAAAATCTCTATGTTAAAAAAACATTATGTATAAATTTCTACTATTGCTAGAGCTACAAAAGCCGAAGTTTGATAACTTTAATTGGTTTCATTTTCTTCTGTTATTCAATTTGGTTTGTATCCACAATCCCTGTCCGATTGAGTCCGAGATCGTGTACCCATGCAAACAGGTTGAAAACATTGAAATATCGAATTTCATATATGACAATTCAAACAATAGGAACAAATTAGAAAAGAGAATAATGCAATCAAAACAAAAAGTATGTGTGAAATTGATGTGTTATCATTTCACCAAATATAAAATAACATTATGAGGAAAAAGTGTTTTGGGATGAACAACTAAAAAACCAAGTTGTTTATTCTTGCTAATATTGAATTAGCCATTATTATACCACTAAGCCTTAGGCTTACTTATAAATGTACACAGTAGCCAATAAATACAATACTTCGTATTTTTCATGTACAAGAGGGGCATCGTAATTATCGATGAAGCCATTTAAGCGATTTTTGTTCAATAAGATGTATATTTCAATCGTTTTTAATACAGCAGAAATTACGGTTAAAAAAAATTTGCAATTATTTCAAGTGTATCCTGAAAGTATTGGATTAATTAATCGCTTTTGCTCTTGAGTTAAACGATTTATTGTCATTAATTTAAATATGTTCATATTTTTTGTATACGAAACTTAATGTGTTGAGTGTAAACGCTTTGGCAACACTGCATATTGCATTGTAAATATAAAGAAGAAGAACAGGCAAACGAGAGCAAGTAGAAAAGTATTTTTCGCCGTGTCGTGAGATTTCTTTTGGTACAAAAATTAATTGGAAAAGTTTTTATTTTAATAAATATTTAAAAAGTTTCAAGTTTTACCAAAATGGACGGCAACAGTGAAGAAAAAGAAACTGCCAATGCTGCCCTTGAAGCGGAAGTAACGCCTGCAATAAGTACGGCTGTGGAACAAGTGAAAGAATATGATGATATAGCGTTGAATCAAACTCATCCTGAAGTTGAAGCGGTTCACGATCATGATCCTAAAATTAAACAAAGACGATATTGGACGCCCAAAGAAGAAGAACGTTTCTTTGAAATATGGGGTCGCGAAAATTGGCGCTTAACCAAGCATGGCAAGAATACCATATATTTTGCTCAATGGGCTGAAGAGCTTAAAGACCGTTTCAATATTGATGTTAAATTGGAAGAGATACAATGCAAAGTAAATCAAACAAGAGCCAAATTTCGGTGAGTACTGAGTAGTAGTATATAGTTAGCCTTGGATTACACTTCTTCATCTATAGGCAAGTGAAAAAGCAGTTAGAAATGGATAAAAACACTATACGTTGGAAGAAATATGATATTGTGGAGAAAATTTTAAAAAATCAATATCGCTCCAAAGACGATGAACCAGTACCACCGGAGGCGTTAGAAAATAATCGTGACATGTCGCCTACAGAGTTGCTAAATTCAAATACACGTTCCACCTCGCCAACCAGTATAACATCGAATTCTGTTCAAGAGCAGACTCTAAACGTTACGCTAAATAGCGATCAAAATGCTGGTGAAGACATTAACATGAGTAATGTGTGTATTATGTAAAGAACATTTAACAACTGCTTTTATTTTTACAAATTTTTTAAATTCTTTCCACATAGATTTCTCTTAATGAAAATAATCTGTCAATGGGTTTATTTAACAATGATTCTCAGACCCTTCAAGCTACTTACAGCGCAGAATTGTTTAGCGATCAAATTGATATCAAAGCAGAATTTGAAGAGGATTTAAGGAGAGAAGAACTCAGTAATGAATACAATACAAACAGCTATAATAGTGTAACGTTTCATAATCAAGAAACGAACAGCCAGCAGCAACCACAACAGGAAGAACAAACGGAAGCGCAGTTTCATCAGTTGCAAACAGCTGCGGAGCAACAACAGCAACAACAATTTCAGCAGCAATATCTTAACCAACTACAAGAAAATCAAGGAGCAATACCACCCCAAGTGTATAACAATTTGACAACAAATAATGGTTTAAATATACCTGCCCCCAGTTCAACAATAACAGCAGCTTCAACTACACCAACCGTTCATAATCATAATCACTCATTAATTGAGGCCAGTATTACTACCACAGGTAGCCACAATCACATTACTAATCATATTATGCAGCCACCACGTTCCACTGTTGTTAACAGTGCTGCCATTGCTACTATTGCCACACAGCCGCGTAAACGTAATCGCACCGTGCATCATAACGGACCAGCTCTATCAAATGATAGCCTGGAATCACTTTACATGGATGAAGTGCGCAAAAAAAATGCCATTTTAATGGAACAATGCGAAATATCACGTAAACGATTGCAATTGGAGCAACGGAAAGTAAATTTGATGGAGGATTTCTTTCCAAAATATTTAGATTTGCAACAGCAAATATTGCAAAAGCTGGAAACTGCTAATAATACAACCTCTGGCTCTTTCAATATCAAAATAGAAAACTAGAACAGAAGAAAAAGAAAAGACGAAGAAGCGGAGAGTTATTCCTGAGAGAGGATTAAAGTTACACATTTTTTAAATAGAAAGTAAGATAAATATTTTGATTTTATGACAAGCAAGATTCATGAGACCAGAATTCTCTTCAACTCGTTCCACTTATCCTACTAAAGATTTCCGAAGATTTGTATTTTTCAATGGAAATCTTACACTAATATTGGAAGTGATGTCATTCCGTTTGTAACGCCGACACACTCGCACTGCAAAATTTCTGATCAGTATGATATTGTGAGTTAATTATATTTGTCAATCTTTGCGTCCTTTTTCACAACAAAAAAAAAAAGAAGAAATTTTTGACCCATGTATTCTTACATTAACACGATACACGAAATTTGATATCCATGTTATTTGCATCTATACACACCACAAAGTTTGCTCTTTTTTTAACATACTGATGAAGTTACAACCTGTAGTAGTACGTCTCGGTGTAGAATTTAGGTACTAAAATCTTTCAATAGCTCGCAGTTAAAACTTTCGCGATCAGTTTTGCATCATGCAATGAATTAACAAAAGGTGACGTGTATTCAGGACTGGTCGTAAAGCGAGTATTGTTTTTTTAGTAAGCTTAAGCAGATTATTCCAATTTTGTCTATTCGGCCATTTTATTTTTTAACTTTATTAAATTTGACTTATTCCTGTGTTGATTGGTTTTTAATTGACAGGATTAACATACTTGTAGAACAACTTAATAATTAAGTAATTATTTCGCATATGACGTCAGATAAGAAAAAAATTAAATATAATCTATGTAATGACAACAACAAAAAAAACTTACAATTAATATTATAAAAAGTATTTAAAATGAATTTTCAAAAAAAAAGAAAAGCGTTTTTTTTTTTTTTTGCTATCCATATGTAAAAGCAGTTTCCAAAAATATATTTTTAAAATTTCTTCAACGTCTAGCTTGTTTTGGAATAACGGTTGTCAAATTTTCTTCTTACATCGTTAGAAAACATTTTCAACTAACCATTGTTTGTATTTGAAAAAAAAATTTTTTTTCACCAAAAATTGTGTTAGAAATAATTTATTAAATGTTTAAATAAGTTTTGACGGTATATGCACCATTTATTTGTAACACGCGGATCTATAAGTTAAAGACTCTACAGGATGTATACATTCTTTATCAACTTGACCAACTTACGGTTAGAAAAACTAATCCTTGCGTTTTTCTGTCTTTTTGGCTTTTCTTCGTTGTTGTTGGTCATTGTCGTAAAAGCTAAGATAGGGAGGCATAAACTCTGCATATCTATACTCACTTGATGGCCAAGAGAATTTGGTCACATAGACAAGAGCGATTGTTACCACCTGCAGCTTAGATTCTAACCACTAGAAAAATTGGCCCAAAACTGTATACAAAAATTTACTAAAGCAGCCCGAATGTTCTGTTAAGCAAGGGGTATAAGGAGTCCCTTCTCACCAATAAATAAAAACATGTCATAACTTATAATGTATAAATAAATTTTTGCGTTGGCAACTTATTCCTCCACAATGTACATAATACTCTGCGATTTTACATCCTGTTTTATAGAGAAGGTATCAAACTCTTGTCTAAAGGCAATTATTAATTTCGATATATTTTTTATAAATTTCGAAAATCAAAGAAATTGATTGAAGAGCCCGGCCCTCAAGACGCATATCAATACGAATTTTAGTTGGCGGAGTTACTTACGACCTGCAAATTAATTCAACATAATTTTAGAAATATACTTTCATGTATCCCTATACTATCGATCTATATTCTCATATGCATAAGTATGTATATATATATGTATATATGTATATATGTATATATGTATATATGTATATAAGTATATATATATATATATATATATATATATATATATATATATATATATAGGCAGAACAATGGTGAATATAAAATAATCATTTCAATCGAGTATAATTTTATTGTTGTATATGTTTAAACGGAACAATGAAAGTTTTCTTTAAGTGAAAACATTTTTTTCTCTTAAAAAGTTTTCTTAAACGTATTTTAATTTGATTGGTTTATACAATTAATATAATGAAATAAATATTTTAAAACATTCTTTTTCAATTTGTGCATAGAGAGATTTGAAGAATTTTGAACCTTTTATTTATATACATGGTTTGTAAACATGTAAATATGTATGTACACGCTTAATGAACCACTGAACAATGTGATGTTTTTCGAATGTTGTAAAAACGAAAATTATTGTTATTGTTGCTGGCATAGCGATTCAATATTAGAAAAAGACAGCCATTTGATAAGAGAAGTTGGAAATTATTTGAAACAACGTCGCGTGCCCACATAAATATCTGATAACAATTCAGGCAAGTGAGAAACTTGCGGTTCTCTTTAGGGTAATCTTGTATTCATTTGCCAGAGGTTTATTCTCTCTTTTCATGGTGACATAGATTATGTACTAAAGTTGTCTTCTTGCTTGCAAAAACTTGGAAATGCCTATCGAATATCGAAGGATCTGCAAGTTCTGCACACAACATATATATCGAATTAAGTTCGACAATTGGAAGGGAACGATCCGTTTTATGAAAGTAAAAGAGGAAGACATCAATTTGATTTGAACTCTTGCGTACAGTATAAATTCAGATTTTTGGAAAATAATTTTTTTCCTGGATATGACAAGTTCAAAAAATTGTTTTTCGATATATTGCTATAAGCTCTTGCGCTGATTGATCAAAATGGAATAACACATTTCGCATGCACGGTGTATAACTTTCGGACCTAAGAAGGAGAAAGACATTTACAAATATATTTGCATTTATTGCTAATCTCATATCTCTTTGTTAACTCAAGAGATAGAAGCTGAGATTAAGTAAAATAAATAAAAAAAAACCAAAAAAGAAAAATTGTGCTCGTGACCGAATCTTTCATACCCTTCACCGTGATTCCAAAAAAAAAAAAAAAAAAGAACTAAATTTTCATACTTTATAACATTAGTAGGGCGTGGCTGATATTTTTTATACTTAGAATAGAAGTGGAAATTTATATGATGTATATATCGTACAAGCAAAAGACGCGGAAAGCGAAGGTGTTCACAGTTTTTATTACTTACGAAGGTGAGGGTGTTGCAGGCGTGGCTCTATTCAAATTCTCTTGCAATTGGCGATATCTTCATTTTTGCGAACGGAAGAATGCTTATTACAGATACTATACGGTCGCGCAGAGAGACAGATGGACGGAGGGACTCGAGAAGAATTTATATACTTTCTAAGGTTTTTGAAGCTTGTTTCTGCCCGTCGTAAAGGCTTTGAAAAGAAATGACATTATGACGCATTATAAAATTGAGTAGGCATGGCTAATCTTTTCCATTTTTCTAAGGGTACTATAGCATCGCTCATGGAGTATATCTTCAAATTTTTGTGCATTTATCTGCCGTGGTTGGTGAGTAAGGAACAAAAAAAAGAGTTTTTTATTCTTTCTGAAAACCAGATATAGCTTTACTTTGCGCAATACGTCAGGCGTGTTATTCCACTGATTGGGGCCATTTTCATCATCAACCTGCGCGCAAGAACTCCCAATGTTTATATCAAATTTGAAGTCGAAAGCTTCATTTTTGCGGGAAGGACAACAGGACAGACGGCCAGACGGATAACCGAACAGACGGTCAGACGGACATAATTAAATTGATTTAAAATTTGATGCTGATCAAGGATATACACACCTTGTGAAGTCTTCTGGGCGTTGCAATCGTTTCGATAAAATGAATATACCTTTCATTTTTCGATGCTAGGTATAATAAATAGGCGAGCGAGAAATTGAGCGTTGTATTGTCACGTTACAGTAATTCTCAGTTATCAAAATTGTAACTTTGTTCGAACTCTTTATTTCTTAATAGCGTTTATTTGCTGTGTGAACGTGTTGCGGTTAAGTTCGTCGAAACGAAAGAATTTTATTCGTAATAGTCATTGTTGTTTCTTCAGCTTATTTAATAACTTAACCAAATTACGTCCGGTTTCGATTCTTCTAACCAATTCGTTAATGCAAATTTTTCCCTTTAAATAATTAAATGCATTTGTTAATAGCTTTATTACTATGCTGTACTCTATGGGGTCAGGTGGTGATTGTTAAATGTGGACCGTTACAAACATTATCGGCTGACTCAGGTAATGGTGAGGACAAGAAACCTTGGGATTTAAATGAAGCCATATTTGCTACATCGAAAATACGATCTTTTAATGGTACTTGGATATCCGGTGAGTCGCATAATTACGCTTTACATCGCTATTCAGAATTTCCGTAGGAAATGACAATCATTTTCATTTTTTTCAAATCTTATCATTGCTATTTCTATCACTTATTTGTTGGTAGGATTTTTGAGAATTTATTATTATTATTTATTTTTTTTATATTTTTTTTTTTTTTTTTTTTTTTTTTTTTTTTTTTTTTTTTTTTTTTTGCTAAAGACCGTGTGATTTTATTTAGCGTACGTTATAAATATATGTCAAATAGTCTACGGCTTAACATGGATAAGTGTGATAAGGTATAACGATCATAAGATCATGTATTGTAAATTTTATATAAGTTATAGAAAACTAAACAAAATAAAAAGGTATATAAAGTTCTACTTTATAGTATGTATAATGTGTTTGTCATGGATTGGTAGCCTCAATAGTCTTAGCCTTAATACGTTTTCGCTAGCGATTTTTTTACATTCATTTACTAAACGTTTGAACAGATATGGACATATGGACGAAGATCGGAGAAAGAAAGTCAAATTTAACGAGTTTGATGGAGCCTGTAACAACTCAAGAACATCTTTGCAAATCCATAAAATGATTTAATGAAAATTTATTTTTTCTTTAAATTTTTGCTACCACTTCATACGAGAGCGAGTAATACCGTGTTATTATTTTACCGATTTATTTATATATATATATATTTTTTTGGATCATTTGAAGACGAAATCTGCCTGAAAGCTATTAACAAAATTAATAAGATGAAACTCATCGTACCCTACGCAACTTGTGGCGCACGGTTTATGAAATTTGTATGGACGTATGTAATACGCTGAACGGCTTAAGATAAGCCTGTCTATCCATCTGTCCGCCTAATGGCTGTCCATGTACTTTTGTGTTCAACCTAAAATTCGCAAATTTTTAAGTGGCTTTGGTTAAAGTTGACACACTGACATAGTTTGATCGAAGGGTACTATTGAAAATGGTTCGGATCGGTCCACTTTTCCGCCAAAATTGTAATTTTCAAAATATTTTGACAATATTCGCTTCGTAGTAGTGTTTGGACATTCTAAATTGGTATGAAAAATTTGGTTCGGCTGGAGCAAGTTTTTCAACCCTCTCTCATATAACCGCTCCTACGAAAACTGAACTGAACCTTTACATAGTAGAAAAATACAATTTTTAATATTTCATGGAGAAAATTAATTCAGAATAGTAAATTGATATAAATGGGTACTTTAACGAATTTGGGCCAAGTGGGTCTATTTTTTATTTCTCCAATATGGCTTTCATGAAAAGTATATCTTTGCATACAAATAATGTGCAAATTTGGTGTATTATTACCAAAACGAGTGAATTAGTGTAGGGCATCTAACAGTCGGCCTCGCCAAACCTGTTTGCTGAATCCTCTTCTTCTTTCATATGTGTTACCTTATATCTCATATAAATAAACTAAAGCCAATCGGCGTTCTTCGAAAAACTGAGCTATTACTAATTTTTATATATGATCAAGTGTTTTTGCTATTGCATACCGAGAGGCGTCATTCTAATATTGTCCTTAAAAATGTCCTTTCGTTTACCATTTTGCTATATTCAATTATTGCAACCTTTTTCAGTCTCACGTTTTACTTAAAATGAACATAACATGTCCACTTTCCAATCCATTATTAGAGCTCGAGGTTTATATCGGTGTGAGTCGTACTGACTCACTTGTTACGAATACCTTTAAAACCAAAACATGAAGAAAACATCTGTTAAAAGAATTTAAAAGTTTTTAAGTCCGCGTCGGAGTATATAACATTCAGAAGGGCTTAGAAGGTCAATCCTCGAACTTTGTCCGTCCGTCTGCTGTCGGTCTATATATTTTTGTAGTCAAGCTACAGATCGCAATTTTTGAGACATTTTGTTGAAACGTTTCTTCGCGGAACGACGAATGGTATTTAAAATCGCTCGATCTCTACTATAAAATCAGAAAATAATATATGCAATCGATTAGATTTCGTCTGACTTTTTTCGATTTTCGAATTTTCGAATAAGGTTATTGGCGTTAATTAAAAACCGAAAAATTAACAGCAGAGAGATTTGAAATATAAAGAACTAAATGTCAACTATTTAGCTGTCTCCTTTAATGGGCTGAAGCAGGTGAAGGCAGTTTCTCAATATATCTCTAGGTATCATGCAAACGATGCGGTCTACTTGCTTTTAAAGGTGGCAACATAAATTTGTTAGCATATCAGTTAACAAATTCCCGTTACTTTTTGGGTAGTGTGCTCTTAAAGTATTCTTTTCATTCGATTGCACAAAGTGCGTAATTTTAGTGAGGACAATAATTGTCTATCTATTTGCAATTGTTCGCTTACTCTGTTTAATAAACAATTATACTTTGCTATGCAGTTTCACTTTTTCTTTGCATAATTTTTTGTTTCTGTATAATTGTTTCTTTGTATAATTATTTTATGAAGTGGTGGAGTGAAGATCAGATTAGTTATTCACGTTACGTCATGACGACATAATGAAAACATTTGCCACTAAATGGTCGATGGATCTTATTTCGTAACTTGCTCGTAGCATGTTTGTCACGTTGTTGATGAGTTGTTCTTTTGTTTTTCTTATTTACTTATTTACTTGCGGTTGCCTAATACAAATTTCTTCGGCATTTTATTTATATTATCCGGATTTTTACACTAGCTATACACACACAGTGGTATAGTGTTTGTTAACTATTGTATCGATGAAATCAATTTGAGCTTGTCTGTCTGCCTGTCAACAACGATCTCTGTCTACGTATTTCTCTGTTCGGGAAGCAAATTTTGAAATGTTACATGACGTTTCGTATACTTTCTTGGCCCAAGCATGAAGCCTAATGAGAATGAACTGGACTGTACCTCCTTTGTGATCACTCTTCTTTTCCAAAATTAGGTGTTATATGAAAGAAACAAAAAATCCGAATTTCGAAACATCTCGAGAAAAAGTGATGTGAAAAATTTGGCTCGGAAGGAGCAATCTTTAAATCTCCTTCACATATAATCATTTTTACGAAAAGTAAGGCAAGACAAAAAGACATGATTTTCATCACTTCATGGCAAAAATTTGTGTGTGTGCGAGTAATTTTACATAGATATTAATTGTGCCGCATGTAGAATAAGTAGGCTCACGTCTCGCATTTCAGAATTATGAGAGCAAGCATGAAAATATGTTTTTAGATAGGAAGAAAGTATACTTTTCGGTCTTTTATCATAAAAATTGGTAAAGCATTGCATAAGGCGATGTGATTTAAGGTAATTAATGCTCGTCCTTTTCCATTTTTACTTGTCTTTTCGATTGCATTTGATTTGATGCCATCACTATTTTTCAGATAAGGAATTTTATTACGGCGCTTCCGACAGATCTTTGCACATATATGATGTCGTTGCCGGAACGGATGAAATATTTGTACCATCCAAGATTTTGGTTTGTATTAAAAAGTGATCACTTCTATCTTGAGATCGGTTTTCCGAATTCGAGCTTTCTATGTCGTTTTAGGAGAAATATGGTAAAGGCAGTTCAGCTATTTTGTCGCCCAGTGGTACAAGACTTTTAATACGCTTTAATGTGGAACATATTTTTCGTCATTCATCTGTAGCCAGATACGATATTTATGATCTTAATACGGGGTATATATACAATTGTATATTTCGGCGTTAGTGGTTATGTAAATCATCTTCTCACCTTTTCAGCCTTTCAACTGAGATGCATAACGGTAAAAAATTACAATACTGCATATGGCATCCTCATAACGATGATCATTTGGCTTATGTTTACAATAACAATGTTTTCGTTCATCGAGTTGGTACCGGAGAGGAAATACCTCTTACCAGCGATGGTAAAAATGGAGTAATTTACAATGGTATTCCTGATTGGGTGTACGAAGAGGAAGTATTAAGTAACAGTAACGCGTTATGGTGGTCTCCGGATGGTTCCAAATTGTTAGTAGGTTGGTTCAACGATACCGATGTTGAAACATATAAATATTTCATTTATGGAGAAGCCAACGATCCCGAAGATCAATATCCTACAGAGGTAGATCTTAAGTATCCAAAATCGGGTACAAATAATCCTTTAGTAGCGGTACGATTATTTGATATAAGCTCTTTAGCACCTTCGATGGTGCTAATTACAGCACCTACTGATGTTGTAGGCAAAGATCATATATTGCAGAATGTAAAGTGGACGAATAATGACAAATTTATAGTCACTTGGTTAAATCGTCGGCAAAATATTGCTTCTATTCAGGCTTGTAGCGCAGAGGGTGTTTGCAAAGAGGTACGTTAGTTTGGGTGCGATTAAAATGCAAAGAACTCACAGTTTAAACGTTGAACGCAGGTAAAGCGTTTAAGTGAGCCCGCTGGCTGGATTTCTATGACCAACCTGCTTTGTTTAAAAAGTGGTGAAAGATGTTTATTTTCCAATTGGATTGATAATTGGTATCAAGTTTGGAATCTGAATTTACAAAATGGTGATAATTTATGGACCAGTCGCGGAAACTTTACCGTATTGAATATCTACGGCTACGATGAGGATAAAGATAAATTGTAAACTAGGTTTTTAATTGGCATTTTTATACCCTACACGATGTATTAAGTTTGTGCAGAAGTAACACTATAAAGAACTTGGGACAGATCCAGCATTTATTGTACCGATCGATACAGAATTATATCTATTTTCTGTCTTTGGGTGCGACTGTCTGTCTGATGTCCTTCCATGTCTCGTTCACACTGCAGGGGGAACTTTTCAAGAAATGAACTTTTAACGTAATGATGATACTGTGATGTTTTTGACCAAACTGTCCAAAACTACCGGAAAAGGATGGATCCTCACAGAGCTTCCCATTCACGAAAAGTCTTCATATGAAAACTGAAATCGCATTTGTTAATATGCCTTGGAAACGATGTGGAGAAAACAAACGTAAAAAATTTGAATCACTGGAGACCATCCTTTGAATCCTTTCCCCTGGAAATATTCTTAAAAAAAATTCGACTTTTTGTGACGAAAAAGTTTATTTTTTAGTATTTTGTGATAGAAACTGGTCCTTAAGAGCGATTTGATTTATAAATTTGTTGTGGCAAGTTTGGACGATGTAAGCCCATTTTCGGGCCCTCTTTGGCAAAAAAATGCACATTATCAAACATGGATAATTTCAGGTCAGGTTTTAGGCACCTTTCGTACTCTCATCAAAATTTAGATGGCACCGCGGTACGCATTTTGATATTTTACGACGAAAATCGATCGAGTTAGGCGACATGGTGTAGGGTATTTGCTGGTCGGCCTTGAACGACGTCCGGAATTATTTCATTTTAATTAATTTAATTTTATTTTTAGATATTACCAGGCTACAATGCCGTACGATCCTTCTATATATCACGTATTTAGTAATGAGGATTGTTTGACTTGTTCTTTACGTGACAGTGAAGGTGATTTATGCCGTTCTGCTACGGCTTCGTTTAGCAAAAATTTCACTTATTTTATGGCGACTTGTGCCGGTCCAAATCCTAGTTATAGCAAAATTGTACGAACCGAAACTAAAAATGTGGCCGCTGATTGGGAATTAAATACAGAATTTCGTGAAAAATTAAGCACAAAACTTAGACCGACGATAAAATATATGAATGTAACTTTGGCTGATGGTTCCCGGGGAATAGCTAGATTAAGTTTGCCCCCTAATTTGGATGAGAAAAAGAAATATCCTCTTATTGTATGGGTCTATGGGGGGCCTAATTCGGTAAGAGTGACGAATAGTTTTACCGTAGGTTTTGAGGCTTACCTCACGACAAAACGTCAAGTAATATACGCCCAAATAGATGGTCGAGGCACCGGAAATAAAGGAAAAGCATTGTTACATTCGATCAACAATCATTTAGGTGAATTTGAAGTAGCTGATCAGATATACGTAACCAAATATCTGCAGCAAGAATTGCCTTACGTAGACGCTGAGAACACCGGCATTTGGGGCTGGAGTTACGGAGGTTATTTAACTGCGCGAACTTTGGGCAATGACACGCACGGGGTTTACAAGTGTGGCGTTTCTGTGGCCCCTGTTACTTCTTGGCTATACTACGGTAGAAACGCGTTAAGATATAATCAATATGAAAGGATTTTTAATTTCAGACAATTTTTTAGACAGCATTTATACCGAACGTTATATGGGTTTGCCGACACCCGAAGATAATCTTCGAAAATACATGGAAACCGATGTTTTTGATAATGTTGAAAATTTCCGCCATCATGACTTTTTATTGATACATGGCTCTGCGGATGATAACGTTCATTATCAGAATAGCTTAATGTTGGCCAAAGTTTTACAGCAGCATCAAATAATTTTTGATGAAATGGTAAGTGATTAATGTGAATAGAAAACGACAAAGGAGATGGTACATAAGCCTTATATTTTCAGACTTATACCGACGAAAATCATTCCATAGGTAGTTTTTTGCCTCATTTGTATCAAACTATGGATCGTTTTTGGTCTTCCTGTCTTAATTTGGAGGTTTTTGAAGAATATGAGAACTAAGCTAAATATGTAAATATGTTCCAAAGTTTTAGAAATATTTGATTATTATACAACAAGAAATTTGTTTCATTTATACAATTTCTGGTCAGCTTAAAGAAGGAAGAAACATACGTTTTGTGTAAATAAAAGCCTAGGCTTGTTATACCCCGAAGAATGAGGGGTATATTTAGTTTGTCAAAACGTTTAGAACGCATACAAGGTAGCTTCAGATACGCCATAAAGTGTATATATTCTTGCTCAGCATTGAATTCTGAGTCGATATGTCCCTCTGTCCGTCAGTTCGTCTGTGTAATGTCTGTTGTGAAAATTCGCCTAGTCGCAAAAAAGCAGCTATCGGTTGAAACCTTGTCAGAAACGTTGGAAGTTCTGGTATGCATGGGGGACAAATCTGTGCACGGACACCCCTACACCACCGTGTTTTTGAAAGAAATAAAAAATTTATTGTTTGCTCATTACTCAAAAACTATAGTAGATAAATCTACGAAAATTTGTAAGAGCCATGCTGTAGTACCCGGACAGAAATGGCGAAAAGTGATCACGTCTACGGAATTACAACATATAACAACTTACATTTTTTTCACAACTTTATAATACGCAGAAGTGAGCTTCAAACGAAGTGAGCTTTCAAATTTGGAATGCATATAAGCATGTCCGTCTGTCCGTCCGCCCAACTGGGTAGTATCAGCGATAAGCATTCTCCCAATCGCCTAAAAATTTGCAAAAGTATTTGGAAATTGCTCAAAGGATACGCCTCTAAGAGTCACCTGCTTACGCAATAAAAATTGTGGACACCTTTGCTTTCCGCATTTTTTCGCGTGTTAATTTTCACTTTTATTCTGGAAGCAAAAAAAAAAAACGGCCGCATCCATTCGAGAGTACAAAAATTTAGTTCTTTTACATTTTTTTACTCTTTTCTTTTTTTAGAATAACGGTGGTGAGTATAAAAAAAGTTGGCGAAGTTTGATTATTATTATCTTACTTGTTCTGTTATAACAATTGCGTCTATTAAGCAAATAGGCGTTTACACTGCTTTACATGAAAGGCCAAAATAAAGATACCATTTTTCGGATTTACGGAACGAGCTTAAGCTGACGTTCAAACAGTTGTTTCCACAGCATTCCCTTAAACAGAAACCGAACTCGCACAAGTTTGGAACAAGATAAGACTGCAGCAAAGGAACAACGTGATGATATGAAAAAGCTAATACCTAAGACTATAACAAGTCGCCTCCGAGGAAACACGTGTTCAACACCTCTTAGCTCGCTGAGCTCGCAGTCATAGTCGCAATAGAACTAAAGGATTTGTGTTTGCAATCCATTCACATCGTTTTATCCTGAATCCATCCTTCGTTCGGTAAGAAAGAAAAAGTTCTTGTAGGGAAGCTGTGGAATCGGTGAGCAATTTTTCGTTACCTCGTTATGTACCTACCACCTTATTATCTTAGGTCTGTAAAAAAATTCTTTTGAGTTGTGTTTTTTCTGCAAGAACTACTACAGTCTACAATTTTCCGACCTAACATAGCTAACTTTACATATAGATCGTATATCGATTTAATTAAATATATTAAATATTTCATCGAAATGATTGGAAATGTTTTTTTTGCGTATATGAAAAATTAAAAACTTTTTATATATGCACTTTTTCTTTTTTTTTTTTGAAGTATTTTTTAATAAAATTTTTCATTTAACTGAGAATGGTTCGAATGATGTTTGTATACTGAGTATATTAGTCATAAAATAATAGCAAAATATTAAAAGACGCATGAAACAAGAACAATAACTGCAACCTTGAACTTATCCTTTTCAAATGTTCTTAAGAAAAAATCAAGAGAAAAGTTCATATAACTCAAACATTTGAATGGAGATTGAATAACCCCAGATAATATATTTTGTTACAGGGGAGTATATATGCAAATATTGCCAATAAAATATGGTAAGGAAATGATACTTTTGTTATCCCTGGAACAATACATGTGCAAATGTGCATAGCCTCCAATAAGGATTACAAGTCAATTTTAACCGAGGAAGTCAAACAAAAGATCAAAGGAAGAAAAAAAAAAAAAAAAAAAACGAAACATGAACCTAAACACATACAAATTTATTATATAGAAGTGAAACCTTACAGTAAATAAACGCAACACACAAGTTCAAATACATCAAAAAAGAATATATATATATATATATATGTATGTATGCGGATGTATATGAATGTCACATAAGTTAAATAACAAACATGTGCATATCCTCAAGAAGGGACTTTATATGCATACACACGAGCAACCATATTGAAGGCTCAAGTATAAAAAAACCTTAACCTTAGACGTTGGAAAATCTTAAAAACACAAAAAGAAACAACGATAAAAATTTTCTTTTGTTTTATTTTGTTTTATTATATTATCGTTCGGATAAATATCAAGATTAAAACGAGTAAGCAAACAATATTCGCTTTAAGACGAACCTTGGAGAACCCTCACTTAGGCAAGATAACGATAAGGTAATTATTTAGCTTTTTTTTTCAATGATACCGCTTTAGAAGTAAGCGAATTACAAGCAGCTTTTAAGTATTTAAAATGTCCAGCTTTTGGTTCTTAACAGACACCGAAATGTCTTCCAAATGTTTCCCTTTTTAGTTTCGCCGTTTTGCATAATTCCAATAGAAGTCAAACGGCCGGACAGACAAACGAACTTTTCAATTTTTATCCTGATCAATATTATATACAAATCCCTGACCGTTATAAACGGAAAAAGAAAACTAATTTGCTGGTAACTGTCGATGGCGACTACAAAAAGGAATGCAAATTAAGGTGTGTGGTAGATTCAATTTAAGATAGTAACCGAGCAAGGACTTCATAGTAATCAAGCAAAGATCTCACTTAGAAGGAAATATTTTAAAAGACTGCCATAATGTTCTCTATATATTATGAGCCGCACACATACGTAGCAAAAAGCAGAATTTTGTTACTGGAAAACTCAAGCGCTAATACGCACGCTTGACACAATAAGACTTTGTATGCGCTTTTTCTTAAATTTTAATTAAAAGCGCTCGGGTAGCTATAAATTTCTTTCACTTCTCCGGATTTGAGCAAGGTTTTGTTTAAACCGTATTCGGACAAAGCCGCACTTGAACGTTGTATATAACATTTTTTTTTTATGACACAATATACTAGGAAGGGCCCATTGATTGACACTTTCTGTCAATTATACTGAAAGAGGTCGTTGAATGAAAAATGACTGCCATGTTAAGCGTATATATCTGTAACGAACTGGAAAAATTCCATGTCCCGGTAAGTTATTGAAAGCGAATTTCGTTGGCTGTGTGATTTCGCTCATTTGAGGCTGTGGTCCTTCGAAGCATACTTTTTTCTCCAAGTTGGTCCTGCTAGGAGATTGAATCTTTTTCGCACTTCTCTGTGGACTGATTTTACAACTACATAGTTTAAATGGAATGTAAATCTATTTAGATATGAAGACATTAAGACAGTAAATAAAACTAATACGCCTCTTATGTCTTTATACACTAAAGTACAGTCTAATACGCCTCTTATGCCTTTAAACACTGAAGTACAGTCAAAGCGAACCAAACTTTTTGGTATCCTTACAAAGTCAAAAGATGAGATAAACAGCTTAAGCAGTTGAGATGATTTTGTCTACTGAACACAGAATAAGGTTAAATGTGGCTTTCAACCATGTGGTCTTAAGTGAAGTTTTGCTATACTTGCTTCGCATCACGTAAAGATGTTCTGCCCTTCGCCATTGGTTACCCCCAATGGGATTTATTCAGCAATCTAGAAACGAGAGATTAGCACTAATGGATACGTATTCGGTTTCGCATATGTGCAGCAATAAATAAACACAATGTGAGCAATGCTAATGTAGTAAGTGGCAAATTGTTCTCAGCTGGTCATTCGAAAGGCAGCTGTTGTTCGGCTCTTAGGGGATTTACTCCTCAACTTGGAAGTAAGACGATTATTGCCATTGATGAAAGTTACAAATCAAAAAAGAGACTTCGGGCTAAAGTGCGATAAAAACATTGTGCAAACTTCAGGACATACCTAAATTTACTCGCATATATTTAATGGTTCACTGGTTTTTACTGATTTTTACTCTCCCTTAAAGACAGCTATCGCTGCATTGTGATGTACATATGAACGTTCATAAAAGTTGAAAGATTTCATGACCTCGTTAATCGTGATATCAACCCGTCTATGGACGTTGTTGCAATATTTATTATTATTGGAAATGGTTGTAACATCCATCAACATAAGACAAATTTGTGCATCTTTTCCAAATACATCAGGTTTTCAACAATAATATGGATGATCTTGGCGAGTAAGGTCTTTGAGAACTCGTGTGTTGTTGGAGTGAGTCAATGCTTGAACATAATCGCAAAGCAAAAGGTCCAATAGAGTTATATCGCATGATTTTAGTGGCAAGCCGACGTAGCCATTTTTGAAGATTAAGATTTTGTGTTGAATCGATTTTTTCAATAAATTTATGGCTTGTTGGTTTTTAAATTTATGACATGATGTAAAGGTATAAAGTGCTCTGTGCTTGCCTTCAAAGGACATCAATAGTTCTCCCATCGAAAGCTTAGTTGATAAGACTAAAGAGTTGAACAGGTTTTCTGGAACCAATTACGCTAATGAGGCAAGCGGGTCGCATTCAGCCCAATCCTCAAAAAAATATAAAATCGAATCCTCAATTAAACGAAAATAATAAATTCTCCTCTTCACATACATCGTATGGTCCAACTGCAGAGCACTAAGTTTCAAAATCAAGCCGAGACACTTCCTCTATTTATCTCCGTCTCAAAATTCTCAAGTCTTGCTTCCTAACTTTTCCAACAATAACATTTCTAATGCGAATGTTGTCTCTTTGACAACAGCTCAGCCTTGGAAAGCAATATTTGCATTCGGACTGGCACCGGATACCTCTCGTGATAATATGAAAATTGGCATTGCTGTAAAAGCCCCACCTGTTAATCTTCGTTGTATTAGTATATTTGATTTATCTCCAAGAACTTGAGCAATATCTTTCTTTAAGGTTTCAGTTCCGAAGGAAAATTCTGAGACTGCGGAAATTAGGATCTGTACTAAAGGAATTTACTCCGCGTTAAATTTGAAGCATATCAGTTTGTATTATGGATCCCTTCCCATACAAACACCTTTACATGAAAACAAGGTATAATTGTTAATGTATTATCAAAAAAAAAAAATGAAAAATTATCGTTGCCCGATTGTTGTGTTTTGACTTGCTTCCTCTACTGAATATTGACATAGTCTCGAAAAGAATATATGTCAACGTTTTTTCAATATTTACTATAAGATGAGAATTGGATACAACATTTATTCAATAAGTCGTTTTAGTTATGTTTTTATAAAATATTGTCAACTTAAGCAAATGGCAAGTTTAGGCTTTGTAGCTTAAATTCCAGTTAAAGAGTCCAGAAAAAGGTTTGGACAGACTTGCATTGGTAAAGGTGCTGAAGGTGTGGCAGCATTAAAGTCAAGAATATTTGAGCTTTATAAGTCTTCGTAAGCGCACTTGTGAGGGTTGCGTTAGAAATGTTGAAATTAACGTTTGTTTACCTTAGGTAGCCGGTAAGAGAATTATTTTTTGGAGCACTTTGCAAATACTTAACATATGGTCCAAAAAAATAAGCGACAATACACTTTGGATGGGAAATAAATATTTTCCTTTTAATTTAATAAATTTCTACGATGTGAGAGTTACTCTGGCTATATGCTTATGTGTAAGTATTTTCATTAATTTTAAAATCAATTAAAAAAATATTCAAAATTTTGTTAAATAAAATAAATAAATAAAATAAAATGTTATTTTCAATATTAATTTGAATTTAGTTTCTTCACCAACTTAACGATAATTAAATTATGAAAAAATTTTACTAAAAGTCAGTTGGTCACCTAACCAGTAATAATATATTGAATGAAAATTTGAGAGAGTATGGATAGAAAGAAATTCTCTTTTCATCTAAAAGTCTCTGTAAAAGAAAATTTTGGCGCCTAAATGCAAAAGCTGTTATTTAACATGTTAATGACTTTAGTAGTGAGTGAAAATAATTGTTAGAGGTGAATTTCTTTTACTTTGGTACTGTAAACGTCATCCTTTAGGAGATTAGTTTGTTGCGAGAGTGTTTGTATGAATGCAATGAAATTTGATAAAATACATAATCATAATAATAAGGGAAATAATTAAAAAATTTGTGCAACTTAGTTAACGTTGACATGAATTTTCATGGATAAAACAAGTTACGTTATTGAGAAATTTTTATTTCGTAGAAGCTCATCTCTACTGACTATAGATTATATTACAGCAGCTTGAAAACTCGTGATTCTTGCTTAACAAAAAGTCTCTTCATTGTCTTCGTCAGCTTATAATATACGCCAATGATGCGTTGCAAAATTGATTTAATTGAGTCTGGCAAGAGACAGTTGCTTAACTTCGTCTTAGATAGGTTATGATAGGGAGCTCCAATTGCATTTCATATGTTAACCGGTTTGAAATTTTCCGATTTTGAATAAACGTAGATCTGCTCTTTCCGTCTTTGCCTGTGTTTTTGTTTGTTGGTAAGCGGAGAAATCTTATCACCGTGGTGTTGATTTTAAACTCTTACAGCCTGTGGCGAAGTTTATTAAATTACCGTTCTATACTTTTACCGGTGAATTATTTAATCCCTTTTATGTTGCATTTGGAAAAACACTCACGATTATTATCTTTCATTCTCCTTTTCTGATATGGTCGATGGAATCAAAATAGTAATAATTTACTCTTTACTCTAATTAATTGTTCGTATATTCATTTAATATAATTAAAAAGCAGCAGGCCTGGTTCTGCACTGTAAGTGGCTAGGTTTTATTAACCAATTACTAAACAGATAAATGACAAAACAAAAAAACGAATGACGACTAGACGACTGACCGGGCGTTAGGTAATGAACGAGTATCATGGCAATTAGTTGCTATGATTTCTTGCATGTAAGGGAATAATATCGTGGTATTGATTATGAAATACGTGGGATATTAGTACCTCGGGATCGAAATGGTGCCACAATTGATGAAATCCACGAAGCTTATGATGATTTCCCGTTAATATCAATATCATCAATTTTCTGCACATGTAATGGTCTTTTGTAATGAAAATGGGACAAGAATTTTGAACATTACGTCAACGGACACTACTACACGTTTACTAGACTTGGTACTAAATCGGGAAATTCCTCAAAAGACAGGAATCTATAATAATCATAATAATATTCAGAATCAACGGAATTATTACCAAGCGCCATATCAGCAATTTTGGCTTTATATTTCGTCAATCACACCCTAGTTACCTGAGGTTCAAATGTATCCGGACAGCCTGTAAATGTGCCATTAACTCTAATTACTTTGTCAATGCTTTTGGAAAACAACAAAAATTAGAAAACCAAGCCAACACTAAGCGACACTCCCGTCAATACGTGGCCACTGTAGCGACTGTGTGACTAGCGACCACGAGATTTTCAGGAAACTTTATTGAACGATGTCGCAAGCAATATTAAGCGGATTGTTTGTGCTATTGAAACAATACGCTTGGAAAGCTCCAACGTAATACGAAGATACCCGTCTTCCCATAATACCAATAATAAATATCATATTTTGACGTACTTAATACCTCCATACTCCCATCATTCTTCGCTTAATGCTGCGGTAATATGTCAAACAACTGATTCCGATTATGAGGCCCATTTGTTGGATTTCTTATTGTTAGGTAATGATTTCCCGAATGGAATTGTGTTGCAAATTTAAAAACAATCAGAGCGGTTGTGAAAATTTTAATTTTTATATTTGGATCGGAATGTTGTTTTAAATTTTAAAACTTTCAATTTATTTGTTATATGTTGAATGTTGTCGATGTAATCAGTATTCATTAAATGTTAAATATTTGATGATCTTATGTGTACTTAAAATGTTTTTTTTTTGAGAAATTGTAGGGAAGCTGGCTTCTTTTAAGGTAATTAGATTTAAAAATGTTCTCTTAAATTCTTTTTTACTTTTTTACAGAAATTCTTAAGAAGTCTTTTTAACATTAAAGAAAGAAAATTCTTCAGATTTTCGTTCTTTTTTTTATATTAAAAAAAAAATGTAAGGGAAAAATTTTAGAAAAACATTGCAACGTTTATATCTGTGGCTGACTTTGTTTTTTTTTTTTGTTAACAAAGGAAATTATTCTCCGGCGTATATGTAGATTTATTTTACCACTTTTTAATAATTTACTTTGGGCTGTTTGCTTAGTTTTTCTAAAATTTGTTGTAATTACATTTGTAATGCTTAAGTAAGATTTATTGATTTCCTTTACTTTGAACAAATCCATGTTGCGGTTGATTTTTATGGTTTAAAACTTTTCTCATAAATTTAATTAAACATTGCTATAAATAATTGCCGAAATACAAAATTACACTAAAAATTTACTCTATTGGTGTTTTCTTGTGATTTTGTAAATACTCTTTGGCCCCTTGAAAATAACTGACCTGTCAAATACAAAATTACACAAAAAACTTACTCTATTGGTGTTTTCTTGAGATTTTGTAAATACTCTTTCGCCGTTGAAAATAATTAATCTATGAAATACAAAATTACACTAAAAACTTACTCTGCTTGTTTTTGGTGTTAATTTGTATATGTTGTTTTGAATTAAATTGTTATACTTTAGGTGTAAGTTAAGCAAAGTATTGTTGTGTTTGTGTAAGCTCTTTGTTATTGACTTATATGTCGTTTTATTATATTATGTAATTTCGAATTTAAGAATGTACCATAACGATAACAGGCGAATATGTAAAATAAGAAAAAAAAAAACGTTACTTTACTTGTGAAATACGCTCACTTACGCAGAAGTAAATTTATTATAGAAGACACGTACAACTATTAGCGACTCAAAAAAATTTCCCACATTAAGTGGAAGCAATTGATAGAATGTGGAAAGTTTTTAGAGTCATTTTGCCCTTTTGGCTTTATTGTTTTGCGAATAATAATCCGGGACGAATCTTGTCGCTACAAATAAACCTGTAGTATACAAGAATACAGCGGTCGCTTTGTGGAGAAAACCAGAATAACGTGTTCCAAAACATAAAAATTGTATCGTGATCGATCAATATACTTCATTGGGTCTTCAAAACTTTTTAACAAGAATTTTTGTGTCTATTGGAGATAGCACACAGGATGCATTGAAAGAAGTTTAGGCCGATCTCAAATTCGAATTCAATATGAAAATCTAACTTTCGAAAGATTAACTTTCGCTTCTTGTACTTTCTTTACTTCAGCGTTTGATTATTGTTTCGAAAGATTCAGCGAAGAGCAAACGAGAGGACGCTTAATCCTTGCCTAAATTATTCATGACTTACGAAACTGGGAATCGAAGAAAAACGTTCTATATATATACAGAAAATTCGTACTCTGACAAATTACTTACCATTTGTGTATCAATTTCAGCAAAACACTTGTTGTTCTCCTCTCAATTAAACACATGTACGATGCATTAGTTTTTATATCTTTCACTGAAGAACGAGGATTGTATTCATTTTGTCGAAACGTTCACAATACTACGAAGCAAGCTTTAGACCTCCCACAAGGTGTATATATTCTTGATCATCATCAAATTCTGAATCGATTTAGCCATGTGCGCCTGTCTGTCTGTTCAATCTCTGTGGTAAAAATTCTTTTAGTCTCAGAAGTGCCTCTTTCGGCTTCAAATTAGGCATAGAGATTGGAGATTCTTGCGCTCAGATTAGTATTGAAATTGAGTCAAATCAGTCAAAGGGCACGTTCACAGTACAATGTAACCTGAAACCATCTATGTTTTCAAAGGCAAAAGTTCTGTTCGCAGAAAAATATAACGCAACAAGATATAACGACAATAATTTTCATTCATATTCTATGGGTGTACTCTGCAGCACTGGGAAAAAATCGTCCCCGCGTACTTACTATTATAGCATATTTAAATTTCATTCCTTCCTCAAAACGATTGCAGCACCCAGAAGAAG